AAAAAAAAAAAAAAGTCTACTAGCTTTTTTAACTTTTTGACCGACATTTGAGGAAAATTGGAACGCGCAACGAATAAGGTTAGAGACGAGTCTTTTTCTAGATGTCAACACTATAATTTTGGTTGCTAAAATGTCTAATTTAATTTAATTATTCTTTGAACTTCAATTATATATAGGCATCAACTTGGCACATAACTATTAGAGCAAACCAAATTGGGGCCACTCGCCAATCGCCACGACGCAACACTCACTCCACCACTACTTTTATGCTACACCTATTTGATTATTTTTTTTTCATTTTATTTTTATTTTTCATAATTTCATTCGTTTTGGATTGTGCGGACATTATGGAATACAGATGTTGGCAAAGTACTAATGATGGAAAATGAGTTGAGATCATGGGAAAGTGACATTCGGACTATGTGAAAAATTGCTGTTTTAATTAGGAGAAAAGAAAATTATAATAAGGGGATTGTTATCTATATATATATAAATTGTTTAATTATTTTTTAAATAGTAATTATTTCCTTAAAAAAATTCATTTACTATTTCGGGAAATTAATTTCACGATTTATGATATATATCAAATAATCACTTATGGAAATTACGACTCACTAGTGTGTACCCCGTGCGATGCACGGGAATAATATTAAATTAACAATATTATAAATAGACCTCGAGTTTGAGTCACTCAATGGCAGAAGTGAAAACTACTATTGATCCTATTTAAAAAGAGGAAGAAAAAATAATAATTATAAATTAAAGAGGAGGATAAACAATACTTAATAATTATAAATTAAAGATTCCGGGTCAAACAATATAAAATTATTATATATAAGAGAATATAAAAAAATTTGATTACACACCATTTTAAAATTATTATTATACTTTTTTGTATGATTAACTTATAATATTTGTAAAAATATTAGTAATTAGACCGATGAAAATTAGCTTCTTAAGGTAGTTAATGGATTTCTAGTAGTAATTATGAATTGGTTTCTATTTTATTGTATTTTTTTTCTTTTTAAAGATAATGGATTTCTAATAGTAATTATAAATTGGTTTCTATTTTATTTTATTTTTTCAAATCTGTATAGATAAGGGATGAGATTTTTTAAACAAGTGAGACGTATGCAATGAGATTTTGTAACAAAAGCGATAAGCTCGTGTAGATTTATACTAAAAATAGAAAAAAGAAAAACAAATATTTATTGTCAAACAACGATTTTGATAAACTAAAGAATAGGAAAAAGAGAAACAAATCTTTACACAATTAATGAGCCAATTTATTTGTCTATTCAGATTTGTCCAACAATTACTATATATAGGATATATTTAATGATTTTGGCGGGAAAATGTTTCTAAATTTGTAAAAAGGTTATTCTTTTTATATAATGATAGATTATTTAAGGAAATATGACCAATTTATGGTATATATCAAATAATCACTTATAAAAAATTGCGGCTTATTATTTAAGAAACTAATTAAGTCATATTTTAAGATATTTTAATTACTCAAATCATGTGAATTAATTAATATATGGTAAAAATGGACGAATTTATTTTAGGTATTCATGGTTGTTTCTCTTGGAAATAAATTAATCAATATAAAAAATTCTATGAAGTTATCGGATGGTTTTCTTATGGAGTCATCCATCACTTAATATATTGACACATGCCCAAAGTGTATTTATTGCAGGACACGTGTCAATACACTATTGGTGAATAAGTGTGGATGGCTCCATAAGCCGAGTCATCCGATGACTCCATAGCAAAACTATAATCAATATATGGTATAAAGTGAGTAAATTTATTTAGGTTATTTGATGACTTTTTTTGTTAGGAAATTTGTTGAGAAATTAATCAATACACAGTTACTTTTTTTTTTTGTAGAGCGCAAACTAATATATTGGTTTTTAGGTGTGTGTTTTAATTTTTATTTCATTTTTTTGTATGGAATTAATATAATAAAATTACAGTAACTCCAACAAAATAATATGAACGGATATTTTGATATAATGTGCGTGTACCGATATTTTTTATAGAAAAAACTTGGTCATTTTTTTTGGTATAATTAGTGTGTCTTGATTTAATTTTATTTTTGTCATGACATTTTAAATAATTTTTGTGTGAACTGCATTGTTCAATTTTTTTAGCATGATAAAGAGTGTTGATTTTTTGGCATAAAAAATCTTATGACCGATTGTTTTTTACTCAATTACTTAAATTTTTTGATTTGAATATTTTATACAAAAATATAATTTTAACTAATGAAACAATATAAGTTTTATATTTATACTTATTATTCACATCCGTTTTTAAATATATAATAAAATTTTACCAAAATAATTATTTTATGGAATTTTACCAAAATAATTGAAACTGCTTTTGAATCCAAAAGACTAATTTTAAATCAAGCAAGAGTTTGCCTTCGTAATTTTAATTATGTGTATGTATCAAATAACTATTAACGAGATTTGTGATTAAATTAGAGGTTTAACTTATCAGAACATCTAATTAATGTATTTTTATTAAGTAAGGAGTTGAGTTAATTTATTGAATTCAAAACTAGTGTGTAGCCCGTGCGATGCACGAGTAAATAATATTAAATAATAATTATAATTTAACGATGACAGTAAATAATATTAACTAATAATTATAAATTAAATATGAGGGTAAACAATATTAACTAATAATTGTAATTAAGATGTGGAGATGCTAACTAATAATTGTAATTAAGATGTGGAGTTAATATGTGATATAATTTATCGTATATCAGTTGTAAATAATATAAATTTATCTTGTATAAAATAACATAAAAAATGTATGTTAAAATATTAAAAATACCTAAAATAATATATAACGTATGTAAAGTATCTAAAATTTTATATATCATTATTGAAGATGTAAAGTCACCTAAAATCTTTCAAAACTATTTTATAAATAAAAAATGTCTAAAATTATTTAAAAAAATCTTACCGAAAATATGTTATTCAATTTACAGAACATGATGATAAGTATGAGTTTGAATTTTAGAATCCACGTGAGTATTATTTTTTAGATCCGTGTACTATACATTCATTATGTTAATTTTCTGTGAACTTCATATTGATTTATTGTTTTTATTTCATTTCTATACAAAGTTGATCATCTCATTTTCTTTTACCATATTTTCATGGAGATTTAACAAAGTCGATTGCATTTATAAAATGATTTGGATATCAACATACAATTTATAATGGAGTTTTCAAAACTGTGTACTATTAACAAATGATATATTATCATTAAATATATTTTTTTTAAATGCACAATTATTGAGACTGATAATTGGATAATTATTTTACCTTTTGAAACTGAGTATAGAAAAAACAATAGATTGGTAAACAAATAAGTGATAAACATTAACAAGTTTATTATCACACGTTCCAAATAAAAAAGTTGTGATGATTAGTGGAAAATGATATTTAACGAATAGCATTCAATATTTTTTTTTTGAAAGGCATAAATATAAAGACCAATATTTTAAAATTTTTATTACCTTTTCAATTGAGATTTTATAAATATAGAGACTGAGATATTAATGTTCTTCGTTGTTTATATGAGAAATAAAATAAAAATGAAAAATGCACACTTAATAGATCTTAGCTAGAATTTTTAAATAATAAAATGAATTAAAGCCAAAAATTTAATACAACATTAAATGTTGTATGAATTTTCAAAGATAAAAATAAAAAAATAATAAAACTTACTATTTATAGGTTGCATTAAATTCTCTTCTATTTTTTTGCTACTATTTTTGTTAAATGTTAATTCTTATTATATATGTATAGATGTTAATTTTGAGAATTGTAATTTTAAGTAAGGAGTCGAGTTATTATATTTTTCAATATAGGAGTTTGCTATTTAAAATTGAGAATTGTAATTTGAATTATTCCCACGTATAAAATATTAATTATTTATCGGGATTTTACAAAATAATATTGGTCAAATCTTATACTTCAGTCCAAGTTATCCATTATTAGCTGATTAAACAATCATCAACTATCCGCTAATTGCGAAACTAAAAAAAACTAAACATTTGAATGTTCAAATAAAATTAATACAAGTCTCCAAATATATAGTTCATATCATTAAGCGGCAAAAAGATGTAATTATGCTTTTCTTTTTCTATTTCAACTTTCCTTTTTTCAAATATTTAAATCCTTTCAAAGATCACGATCCCAAATTAAACGCCGCACATCATCATTTTGTCTCTGTAATTTCCTGTTTGTCGTCTTCTCTCAAACCTCCCTCAATTCACCGGCAATGGCAGCTGAAGACCAATCTCTCTCCACTCCCCTTCTCCCCTCCGACCACCAACCGCCCCACGTCACACTCACCGTCACCGACCCGGCCGACAGCCTCCAATCCGCGTCCCCCCGCCGCGGCGGCGATCGCCGGTCCCAGTTTCAATCGGGCGATGAGGGCCGCCACAGCCCATTTTCGTTCATCGGGGCGGACGGCGGGTTCGAGGTTCCAGGATCCAGCACCATCGACCCGTTCCGCAACCACACGCCGAACATCGAGGGTTTGTACGAGTGGTTGAAGATTGTGATCTGCCTGCCGATTGCCGTGGTCCGGCTCCTGCTCTTCGGGCTGGCACTGTCGGTCGGGTACCTGGCGACCCTCGCGGCGTTGCACGGGTGGAAGGACAGGCAGAGCCCGATGCCTAAGTGGCGGTGCCGGCTCATGTGGGTTACCCGTATCTGTGCCCGCGCAATCCTCTTCTCCTTTGGGTAGGGGCGTATTTTTGTTTTTAAGTGAATAGCATCTCTTGTTGTGAAAGTAAGCATGTTTTGGACCAAACAAAACAACTATATATCCTACCATACCATAGGTGTTAGCTTTTGTTGGTTTTTTAAGAAGAAAGCAAGTTTGACTAGAGAAACATATGCTGATCTTATCGAGAGGTTTACTGTCGAGACTTGCCTTTCAACTTATCATGATTATTTTACTGGGTAAAATAGTTGTCGAGCTTACGTTTGAATGATCCCTGTTAAGATCACTAATGGGAGTATGGGAGGTGACTAGCTAAACATACAATGACCTCAATGAGAGGTTTATCATCCAGATTTTCTTTTCAATTAATCATGAGTATTTTGCTGGGTAAATTTGTTGTCGAGCTTACATTTGAATGATCGTTGCTGAGAACACTAATGGGAGTATGGGAGATTGACTAGAGAAACATATGGTGACCTTAAGGAGAGGTTTATCATACAGATTTGATTTTCAATAAATCATGATTATTTTGCTGGTGAAATTATTGTCAAGCTTACATTTGATTGATCTCTGTTAAGAACACGAATGGGAGTATAGGAGAGCTTCCTTCTCTCTCTCTCTCTGTGTGTGTGTGTGTGTGTGTGTATGCACTCATGACTCACTTGGTAACAGTTCAGTTTAGAAAATTCTGGAATGCCACGCATTTGCAGGCAGTAATTATGTTGAATTTGCAGTATCTGAGACCAATAAGCCAGTGTTTTATATCTAAAGAATGGGTGACCAGATATCCATCAAAGTTATTTTATTACCATCTGATAGTTAGATGGCGTTGAATGGTGGGGATCCCATAGGAATTGTGTCAGTGGCTTGGTTATGAGTTTAGTTAAATTCCCATCTGTATGAATTTTGTGATCTTAAATAAGAGTGACATGAGGATATGTGTTATGATCGAGCATGATGGCGACATGCGATCCATGTGGCCGACCCAACTTAGTGGGATTTTAACGGCTTGATGATTGATTGACTGAAATAAGAGTGACATGAAACTGCACTTTTATGTAAGATAATGACGACTGGCAGTCCTGAACTCCTTGATGGAAGTGTCAAAATTAAATTCTTGTTTCTCTTGTTGACAGTGGTTTTGTTTTGCTGTCTTTGATAGTTTGATGTCATATTGTCTCATCAACTCAGTTGCTTCTTTTGTTGTCCTATGCTGCAGCTACCACTGGATTAAAAGAAGAGGAAAACCTGCTCCGAGGGAGATATCTCCTATTGTTGTATCTAATCATGTATCATATATTGATCCTATTTTCTTTTTCTTTGAATTATTTCCTACTATTGTGTCGGCTGAGTCGCATGACTCTATGCCTTTCGTTGGGACCATCATCAGAGCAATGCAGGTACTTCGTCTGATTCTTTTTCACTTTCCATCGAAAAACGTGTTGTACATCTTCCAGTTAGCCTTTTCTTGGTCCACTTACTATACGAACTTCTAAATTTTTTACTGCATTAAAGCTACAGGTTATGCATTCCTTATTAATTTTTTCCCTGTAGGTTATTTACGTTGATAGGTTCTCAAGGTCATCCAGAAAGCATGCTGTAAGTGAAATAAAGGTACAAAGAATCTGTATGCGCTGTTTACTGTTCTTTAACTTAAGCAAACCAAATGAAACAAATCTTGTTTAATTATTGGTTTGTGGGATGTGGGATGGACAAATTATTGAGATTTAAAGTTCTAGCTATATATAAGCTATTTGATACAGAAATGTATTTTCAAGGATTTGAAAACAGAGAAAAGCATCTTCCAATCATTTTCCTCGAGTGCTTTTATTTCCCGAAGGAACAACAAGCAACGGAAGAGTTCTTATTTCTTTTCAACTTGGTGCATTCATCCCTGGTTATCCGGTTCAGCCAGTTATTGTCCGTTATCCCTATGTACACTTTGACCAATCATGGTACACACCTCTTCAATTTAGTCCTTTTTAATAATTCTTTTGTGCAAAATCATGGATGTTCCATCTAACTATTATATATTTTTTCTTCATAAATGTACCATTTTATCAGGGGGAACATTGCACTAGCAAAATTAATGTTCAGAATGTTTTTGCAGTTCCACAATTTCATGGAGGTACGGCCAATATTTTCTCCACCAATATTTTCTCCCTAGTGTTTTTCTTGGTTGCTTTTTTGTTTCTCTTTTTGATTGTTATCATACTTGAGTTTTCTTTCATTTGCGACTTTTCCTGCATGTCGCTCATCCAAAGGAGTTCCACAAAACCGTAATTCCTACTTTTTACATTATACTGCTATAATTTTGCCGAGTGTGAGAGTTTCCTATTTGTTGGTACTTGGTACTTACATTGCAAATTGTGTGATTGACTTTTGAAATGATGACATAAGCTGGCAACTGTATCTTGGGAGTCCATCATTTCTCATTAATAATGTACTACTAAGATTTTTTAGTTTTACTTTTTATTTTTTTGTGAAAGTAAAAGAAAATGGACTTTACCGTTTTCTTTTGTATTATACGTTTGCAAAAATCACTACACATGCGAAAGAGCTTTTGTCTATGGTGCCACATGATTCATAATAACAATATTTCTCTCACTTGGGAAGAGTCGGTTAAGAGAGACCTTAGAGATTGGAATATCTCCAAGGATTTAACGGTGGATAGGAGCGCTTAGAGGCTAGCAATCAACGTGCCAGAACCGTGACTTTTACTCCTTTTTCTTTTGCTTCAATCTCTTCCTTTTGTTTTGAGCCCTTTTTGTGTTTCTCTTACCATTGGTTCTCTTGGGTTTCATCTCTAGCCTACCCCAACTTGCTTGGGACTAAAAGGCTGTGTTGTTGTTGTTGTTGTTGTTGTTTGTTTGACATTTCAATAATGTTTCTGACTCAGTAAGTTCCCTTTGTTTTCTGATATCTTCAGGTCGAGTATCTTCCTGTCGTATATCCTCATGAAAATCGGAAAGAAAATGCAAGTCATTTTGCTCAGAGGGTGAGCCATGTTTCTTGCAGCTTGATTTTGCTACTCACGAATATGATGAAACAAAAATTACGTGGGAACAGATTGACCGTGTGTAGTCTTGCTCTTGTATATAGTTTTTATTTTTCTATTCTGACCTTTTATCATTGGCAAGCTTCTGGAAGGGTGACCAATATCCCAAGTTACATTTTTTCCGTTATATATTGCTAGAGCATTTTGTACTCCACATTTATCACTCCAGTAAAACTACTCGAAACTTAGCTCTCATTTCTTTATACCAATTTGGTGACATTTGTGTCTAACTGAGGATCATGATGACAGTAAGGTGCAGGGGATAAGCAGTGTGTTTGGTTTTCTAACATCTTATTTTTGTGGCTTAAGTCCCCAAAGGTTGATAGTACTAGGTTATGGAATGACAGTTGCTCTTTGTCTTAACTTTCCTCTGTCTCTTGCTTCCCCCTTTTTTAATAGATATATTATAATAGAGAGAAGTTGGTTGCTTTTGGAGTGTGGTTTTTATTATCTAGGTCTTATTTCAAATTGATAAGCAATTTAGATAACAGAGAATGCAAATCAAATCTTTCTTTGTTGTGAAATGCTTTACCTTTTTTCTATTCTGCTTTTGAGCTTAGGACTTGTCAAATTTCCAATTACGCTTTTACTTGCGAAAAAAATGTTGTATATTCCTTGACTATTTATGCGTTGCTATTCCACCTATTGGTTTAATATTAATCTATTCAAGTTGTGTGTCTCATTCCAGACTGCTCATGTCATGGCAAGTGCTCTTAATGTGGTGCAGACATCTCACTCCTATGGGGATTTTATGCTTGTTGGAAAGGCAGCTGAATCAAAGCAGGTTTGAGATTTTGTTCCTCAGTTGCTAACAGGGTCCATTTTGTTGGTAGAAATAGCCAAAACAGCGTATATCAATGCCATGCTATCATTTACTTTATGGTTATCTTCTCATTATTAAATTGCATTGATAAAGGGAGAGTAGCAAATCTTACTGCCTAATTCCTGTTAGTTGCTTTGATCTTGTGGTCTGACATCTGAGTTGTGACACCATGTCTGAACCGTCTTCGTCCTTTGTTCCACGGTCAAGTTACTGATTCAACACCATTGCGAATTTTGAGCGGCGTCATGAATGTTGATCCCTGCTAAATATAGTATGTTAAATAAGTTCACACCAAAAAGTCATGTGAATTTATTATTTTCCTTTATTTTATTTCACCTCCTTATCCAGCCGTGTTACGTATTTGATTATCCACTAGACATCGAAACAAGAAACAGAGATATATTATGTGATCCTGAAAGATTAAGTGAATATCTATGTTTTCAGTTTTATCGCATAAAAGCTGGGTTAATTCATACTACAGTAATGTGTATTGAGGCCTGTGGATTTGTTAGATTTGATTTATCTTTCCTGTTTTTATCATTCTCTTTTCCTAAGTATGTAATTTTTAGTTGGCACTTATGCATTAGTGATTTCACTTTTTATGCGATTTTGGTTCTGTCCAATCCTATTTGAACTTATGGAAAACAACTATATTGGAAATATTGATATGCCTATATTTTGTGGATATTATATTGCTCACTGATGTTATATCATTTTTTCCTTTATCAGGAAAATCCATCGCTGTATATGGTTGAAATGGCCTGGGTACAGTCAGTAAGTTAGAATCCCTAATTAATGCTTTTCGGACATTAGTGAATTAGAAATACTCTATCTTTATTGCTCTTTTGTTGACATCTTATCTTTTGAATTGTTTTAATGTCCTTGTCTGTTCAATCCTCGTTACAATTCACATAAAAAGTGCTTCAGATGAATTCAGTTTCATGGATAGGAGGGTGCCTCATTGTGATTTGCATTACTTTGAAATAATTCTATCATCATTGAAGTTCTGCTTATTACTCTGATCTGAGTTAAATGCATATCTTGTAGTGTAGCTACCTAATGTTAATTTAGAGCTGAAGTTGTACTTAAAAAAGTATTGTCATGGAGTTGGTTGTATACCTATTAAAATCTGACCCTTTGCTGTATCTACTCGTGCCTATTGGTTTCTGAATATCTCTTTATCACCTTAATCCAGTAAACATAACCACAAAATCAGTTGCTCAAAGTTGAGGTATTGTCGAATGATTGTCCTTTTAACTTCTAACTGTACATTCATTAGCTAGTTATGATGTTACCCTCATTAACCTTTTGGTACTTAAATGGTGGCTCTATCCACTAGTAGTGTAACATGCTACAAAAATAATTGGAATATGAAATCTGGAATGAATTATATGTACCTTAATTCATGTCTCATGAATATAATTGCTTGTTTTATAACTTCTATTTTAGCACTTAATCGATGAAAGACTCATGCAATTATGATTTTCAGGCACTGCATTTGAAGGCACTGGAAGCTGTCGATTTGTTAGAGATATTTCTGTCAATGAATCCAGATGCCAGGTGTATAAATATATCCAATCTTTTTTTTTTTGTATTCTTTTTTTTAATTAATATTCTACGCCCGACAGCTTCTACCTGTCCTCAGTAAGAGTATTTATTTTTCATCAAGTTCCAATATTTGCATCTTTAATTTTATAATTTTTTTCATATAATATTGAAATCATCTTTCTGATACATTCAAATATCTGCAGTGGACATGTTGAGTATCATGGTTTTCTGAGAGCTCTAAGATTGAAACCTTGTGGTCTTTCTGAAAAGGTTTGCATTGAATATCCATAAGTTTCCATTGCCTCGTAACTGATCATTGTGCTTCTTTTGCTGCTGATATGCCTTTTTTATTTATTCGTTTACCAAGGTATTTCCTTTCATTCCTCCTCTATTCTGCAGATGTTTGGATTCGTTGATGTGCAGAAGATTGGTAAAATAACCTTTAAACATGTACGTTCGAAACTCTGATCCATGTTGGTGTGATTCTAATTCTGTATAGATATATCTCTATTTGCTATGCAGTTTTAATACGTGAAATCTCGTTTAAAAATTGAAACTCTGTTAATTCCAGTTCTTGGTTGGGTCCGCTCAAATCTTGAAGCAGCCACTATTTTGCCATGCCTGTGAAGTAGCATTTAACGAATGTGACATGGGAGGGAAGAATTACATTGTGGCTCAAGAGGTTATCTTCATTATCCGAAAATTATACGTGTTGTTGGCATCTGTTTGACTTGTGTGTAACTTTAGATCACATGTCTTAATTCTTTTATGACAGTTACAAGATGCAGTGTCACTATCCATTCCAAATATGAACTGTGATGAGGTGAGTGGGAGAATTTTATACCAAAAAATGCCATTTAAAAGTTTTTTTGGACTCAACTGTGCTTCAGATTGTAAATTGGGATTCTTTTTTCATGTTCAAATACTCACACATGTACAGTACTACAAAAAAAAAAACATTGATTTTGGGAAATTTCAGGTTCAGGGACTGTTTAGTCTATTCGATACGGACAATGATGGGAGGATTTGCAGGGAAGATTTCAGATCATGTTTGAGAAGACACCCATTGCTCATAGCTCTCTTCGCACCTAAATTGCTGCACAGAAATCCACCTATACCTGCTGATCAAAGTTTAGTGCAAGTCATATAAAAAATGCTAAAAGGACCAAATTCGATGACTTTCTAAGGGTGTGTATGTGCGTGTGTGTGTGTGTTTTTTTCCTTTTATATTTTTTGGTTTTCCTGGAAAAAAGTTATGTATGTCAACCAGTAGAGGGTGGTTTGTGTAGGAACCTAAAATCCAGTGTTTTACTTATTGTATTTTTTTTCCAATTAAATCGTGTAAAGACGAAATGCTTGGAGCTTGGTGGTGTATCATATAATCAATGTTAGTGAATTATCGTAATTGGCTTTACACTTGTGTTGTGTGAGGTCATTATGAGATATGAAAAGATATTTTTATTCTTCAAACATTCGGAGGGAAATTATATTTGTAACTGTAATCTTTTGTAGAATTTTATTTATTTGTTGTTTGTTTTGTTTTTTAGTTAATCCTGCAAGTACATTTTGGCTAGGAACATTGATTGACGAGTTATGGACCAAACAGATATTTATTTTTATTTAATGCCTTGAACGTGGGAGTGTACTATGTGGTGCCTGTTAAATGGATATTTTTCTTTTTGCTTGTTTTCGCCAAGATATGAAATTTGGCCAAATTTCTTACGAAAAATCTATGTGCATATCTGTTGGGATAATTATCGCGAGGCACATGGAATTGGAAAGCTGAATAATTTCTCAGTTTTTACATTTTTCTTTTTTCCTTTTGCTTTTGTATGGTGATACATAAAAGTTTCTGATAATATCTCTAGAGTTTACAAATTTGTGTGAAAGATATCATATGCAATTATATTTGTGGTCGTGATGTATGTGTCAAATCATGCTATCTAGTCAAATTTTTATTTCACTATTGTATTTTATGTGTTGTTTTTAGATCATAAACATGATAATCAAACTAGCTTATATTGAATTTTTTTATTTCATGTTGTTCGAGTCGTAATGAGCTCGTTGTGTCATTTGTCATAGTAATACTAGGTGTTAGCTTTCGTATTTTGTATCGTATCAGTCATTGTCATTTCTAACATACAGTCTCCTTAGGTTATTTCAATTTTATCTTATATTTGTTATACATGCATGGAGAAATTCAGATGATCTATTTAGAAATTGAATTATGCAGGAGCCACGCCACAGGATTTCAATCAATAGCAATCAGAACGTATTAATACGAATATGAATAATTTGGATTATTTCTCTTAATCTAAAATTTATTTATGTATTGATCAAGTATTTTATTATTGTTGTATGATGTTCTCACAACTAGAAAACCAAATTGTACCAAAAATAACCCCAATTCATGTATGCAAGATTTATTATAAGTTATAACAGAGCTCACAAGGACAATTTTGTTAGGCCCACCACTAGTAATTGTTCATTCAACACCCCCACATTTGGAAACTTACAATGAAAAGATTTGTCACGCCTAAATGGTCCCCTACCAAAGTACAAATTTAATTGCATCTAACACAATTATTATTCCCTTAAAAAATTTGAACCAAGTCCAAATTCTTAAAAACGCCAAAAGAGTTCGTCAAGAAGGCCAACCCCGACTTGCTGACAGGTGTCTGAATCACAGAAATTTTTAAATTAGGGATCAAAACCATATATTAATTTCAATTCCAATAATTACCCTTTTGTTTAATTTAATAGTACCATCTTTTGAAGTTTCAACATTAGAAAAGTAATTATCTTAGGGACTCAATGTAAAATGTCGCTTCGTATAACATGCTATGGCCATTTTCTTTCTCTCACCGGGACCATTGCAATTTGTGTGTCTCAAAAACATGGATTTTTGTAGTTTGGTGCTTGGAGCCTCAAGCAAAGTAGTATTAAATTGGGTGAGAACCTAAGTAGAAAAGAAAGTATACAATCTTGGGGAGAAAGTGTTTACACCTATAGGCTATAGCTAGAGTTCTCTTTGAAAAGTAACAAGTTGGGAATTTTATTTTTAGTGGATGACAATGCGAAATCAATCGATGGTTGGGTTTCGAACGTCACATTTAATAATTATGATACTATAAAAAAAATATATCTTTACTCAGATAAAAATACGATACCACTATATGTAACTGTACGCACTATCTTTACTCAGATACGATCATGGGCTAATGACATCAAGATTGATGTTTATATTTTATCCACAGAGATATGAAAGAGGAAACAAAAGTGACCAATTATTAGTTAATTCCAAACTAAAGCAAATATTCCAAGAGTATTACTTCCATACTTGTTTTCAAGGAGATGTGATGTTTATTATTTTTATTACCTTAAGAGGGCAAGAATATATATATATATGAAGCAGAAATTCCACAATGAATATTAGACGTTAGATCATGAAGATTATGGTACCATATGGTGCCCATATGGGCGCCATAGAATTCCTAATATATGAAGTGTGTGTTTAAATGGTGGAGACATGAAAAGGCAATTTGAATAAGTGCCATTTTGTTCCATTAATGCATCTTTTATGTGGCATAATAGATATGGAAATTACTAAAAGGGAGTCTAGGAATTGCTTTATTTGTCTTAAATAGTAATAAGGAATAATGAATTAATATTATTATGAGACCATAGAAAAAATTATTAGTATTATTTAAGTAATCTGAAAATATAGTATGATTTAGTTGTTGTATATAGGTTGGCTCCGCTATGGAACCAACTGTTGGATTCATAGCAAAACCGCACTTATACATGCATATATTTTTATTTTCTCTTTAGCTTTTTTGTCAAAATAGAAATACTTAATTGGACTTCGAAAGAATTTGTCGACATTTACGGCGAGGCCCCAATTCTTGAATTCTTGACTGGAAGGGACACCAAAGGCCTCTGCCCTTCCATCCCTTGGATAGATAGAGAGGGAGGGCAGATGCTATATATTGAATGAAATTTCTATATCGGGTTGATAATTCATTGTGTTTTCATTGAAAAAAAGGTTATTTGCTAGGAATATTATGTTTGCTACCTTCTAAATTAAAGTAAAACTTTGAATTGAAGTCAAGTTTAGGATTAAAGAAGGGCCAGTCTTAAATTAAACATATATTAAAAGGAAAATTACCTCAACATTTCCATTGGTTATCATTACACACATTAAGTTGACTACGTTTTTCAAAGTAGATAATAATCAGAAAATTGACTATTGTAGAAAAAAAAAATAAAAAATACAGTGCAGAATATTAAGTGAGAAAGAAGCAACAAGATCTATTTAATCTCAATATAGTGACATACATTAAACAATCTTCAATGATTTATGCAGAAATAAATAAGAAAATATAGTTTTGGTGTCATATAATTTATGGTTACAGCAATATCTAGGCCAATTCAAACTTAAATCAACACTCCACATCTATTAAAATTAATCTTGGATTAATGTGACTAATAAAATTTTATTAGTCAATCCACATTGTCTTTCAAAAGACAATCCACATTTCTATTATGTGTTTGGTTTACCCAAATTAAATCAACCTATATATTTTTCCCAGAATTTTTGACCAAACGAATATGTTCTCCACTTATGCTATAGTTGTTATTTAAAGCTTGTTTTGAGGCCAAATTAAAGTTTTGAGAACCACTAATCCATCAATGGTGGGTGTAAGAAAATTTTCAATCTAGGATTTTAATTTATCATTTGTTCGTGACTAAAGGAAAATTTTACCACTAAGTGAAAGCGAAATTGCTAAATTGACAACCATTATTGTGTTCGGATAAAAATATATGCCCCCGAAATTAGGAAATCAATACCCATCACACATACGAAATGCACATGAATATGAATATAGACATTTAACCAAACTAATTATGGGGAATCTATTACACCTTTTAAAATGTTTTGCATTTGTTCCACTTGGATATTTTTATAATAGAGTTATTTAATTGCTTTAACCTGCATGGTGTAAAATGAATAAGTGATTAATGTAATTGTATAAATGCTTTTTGTTTGCTTCTAAATTATTATGAAAAAAAAAAAATCAAAATAAAAACATTTAGTTTTATTATTGATTCCTCATCTTTGCTGATGTGTTATCTCTTCCAATTTTATCGATATTATTATGCTCGAGCTTGATTATTTAAAGCATTAATACCCAAAATATCAATTTACCACATATTCAACTTAATCATTTTGGCGCTAATTGGGCTCGATTTGTCTACAAATTGTGTCAGAACTAACAGCTTATTTCGTTGAGCATGAAAATAAGTCGAAGTATAGAAAGGATAGAAATTCAACCTACAAAAATACCAACAATAATTTGTTTAAATAAAAACAATACCACGCACCAATTTAGATAGACAAAAGAAA